AAATTTTTACAATACTTCACAGCAGTTATTCAATCATTTTCATATATTTGAAATGACTACAAACATAGCTTTTTAAAGAACTACAGAAAAGTCAACAATAGATAACTGTGAAATCAGTAAGATCAAATGTCTATACCTACAAGTTGAACTCAATATCCTGCATCATGTATTTACAGTAATAGATCCTTATGTTTACTGATTGTAACAGAATTTATAAGGCGCAGTATTTTCTAAACCATTAACATTAGTCATCAAATATACGCCTACACTATAAAGGAACTTAAAACACACAGTAACTTAGAAGTCAGCCATGGGAAATGGACCATATATTTCACAAAACTATTCTTTTGTATCCTGTTCTGGCTAGTGGTTAAATCCCACCAAGCGGCTGTGTTTTGTTCCTTAATCCTCCTTGCACAGCTCCCCAGGAGAGACTTTACAACATAAACTGCAAAGTACCATTTTCACTGCAAAGTACCATTTTCACAGCACGAACAACACTGTTCCTCCTCAAAAAATGGCATAATAAAAACAGTACTGTAACGAACATGCTAATTCTGGTCACAAGGTGCAACATATAGCACAATCATTGAAAGTTCAGGAAGTTTGAGGGAAAGATACTTCTTTGGCTCCTCAAAAGTCTTCTCATGCAATACATCAGATAAATGTCTTTCTGGTGTTTGAAGTTCTTGCACAGGTATTTTCTTGCATTCCTTGTTGTTATTTATTCCACTTTCAAAAGCTTGTCCTAATAACAGCCCCTGGCAATAATCAGTGTGACTATATAGCAAACAGTTAAGTCAGACAAACACTGGTATACATCGTTTATACAGCTCCAGCTTGAACACAGCGAATTTCCCCTACTGTGCAGCTAATACCCAGAATATGTACAGTCCTTCCTCCCATTTGTCTAGAAATGAGAGACATCCCACAGCACATTTTCCAACATTATAGCTGTGCCACTCCATTTGTCTAATTTCCATGCCTTCAAAGATCGCTGTCCCAGATGAGATTACTTCAAAATAGTTCCTTCTCATTTCAGTACTAATGGGTACAGTGAAAATATAGAAATAAGCTTATATCATCATTTAATCTATGGCTAGCAGCAGAAACCAAAAATGTAGCCCCTTTGATTCATCATCTCTGTTTTTTGGGGTGGTGGGGTTTTTTGTTTTTTTTTTAAACAGCGTGGAAATGTTCTGCACTTTTGAGAGTCTAATAAAAATAATCTCTTGATTATCACAATCAATCTCTGTGTGTATCAATGGACAGGGAAAAACTGTTCAGTAAATACTTCACTTTTTATTTCATTCAGCAATGACTGTTCAACATTAAATAAATCAGTTTCTAAAAAGTATAAAAAGGAATAACTGCCCTAGGAACTTCCCACAGAAATCTTACTTCAATTCTTCCATCCTTAGTGCCTGTGCTACAAAGATGCTATGTGTCAATTTTTTTATAATGCACAATATGATCAACAATAACAGAGAAAATTGTGAGCTGAGAAAACAAACTGCCTTTTGTTTAAGTGCCCTTGTAGTCTTTCTCTTTAGTTCCCAGTCAGCAAAAAATACAGAGCAAACAGAACTGATAGAAGAATGGACTTAGGTATTCTGCTCTACTGGACCTTCTCCATCCTTGCTTAAAACCTGCACTTTTCTGTGCTGCAATCATATGCCTTCTTATGAGGTAGTTGAAGCTAGCCTTGGCAGAACGTTATCAAGGAATAAAAATCAAAAAATCATTTAAAAAATTAAAAGCAGGATTCCTTAAAATTAACAGCATGGAACTGTTGCTGATTTCTCTACTATAAGGAGACACTTCATTTCCTCCTTCCTGAACAGTTTATGTATCTGCCTATGATGCCAGAATCCTTGTTCTATAGCCATGAAAAATGTCTGTTATCCACCATTTGCAAAAAACAGAGTTAGGTGGCTTTAACAATAAATTAATGGACAATGAAAGGAAAGCAATTCCATCTCTGATCGCTGCAGAGTATGGGAAGATCCTACACTTCAATGTCTTTCATTGCCTACTGAAAATTGATAATTTTGACTTAAAGAATCAAAGCACTGTTCCACTCATACGGTTCTCAGCATAAATTTTCAAAACAAAGAGCTCCAAAACAAATAGCATCCACTCCTCTTGTCTGGAAGGAGACTTCCAGAATTCTTACAAGTCTTGTTTCCCTTCCAATTCAGCATTTATGTGGGTGAATCTGTCCCAGTAAGCAGCTGCTGCCTTCATATACAGAAAATCAAAAGCAGTTTCCATTTATCTCAGACATTCACTCTTGGTCCAGACTGTCACCATATTCAGCCTAGCAGGTAAAACTTTAGCCTGGAACATTTCCTGATATACTCTGGTGACAGAAAAAGGCCCAATATTTTGTCTGTTCTGAGGCCTTGATATGTTATCATCTGTAGCTGCCTTTTCTGCCCTTTTTCCTTCTCACATTGTGAAGTTTCAACATCTAGAACCTACAGACCATTTATATTCATAGTTCTTAGAGGCCCAAGTACTACAGATTGGTCACACTGTAAGAACTTATTAACAGGGTAAAACCTGTAGTGCATAGAACTACTGTAACTCTATACCGCCACAGAGAGAAAAACTGCTAAGTGTGGCTCTAAAAAGATGGATACATTGGCCAAAACTTTGCTGTTCTGTGGTAAGCAAATGATTTGTAGCAGTTAAACTGGATTTAGTGAAACAAAAACCAAAAATGAATATAGGTAGATACTTCAACTCCTGGAAATGTCCTGATTTCACCAATGTCCCACATCAGGGTCACAGTACTTGTAGGTCAAATTGTGGGTAAACTCTAACTTCCACCCCAGGGTGCCCACTTGCAAGAGGCACAAATGCAAGTTGGGTCTCTGATAGGACCATTATGGAAAGATTTGAAGAACATGTGAAAGTTATGTGTGTATCTTCTGCAATCCAGAGTCACATACATGTCCCAGGGATGTGCAAAGCCTAAGCGGACCACAGAGCCAACTCACTCCACTCTTTCTCATTTGAGTGTGTGTGTTAATTCCTGTTCACATCTATGATAAATATTTATTCCTACAGCAGCTAAGTGAGGCACAGAGGCATTCTTTCCACAAAGGCATAATCAGATGAAGTGTCTTCCACAAGGCTAACATTGCAGACTCTACAAGATGAAGATTTGTGTAAGTTTGCAAAGTAGAAGTTTATAATAGAATTACTTATCTTCTAGGCTAATTCCCTTAGCACTGCACTATGCTTTGTCTTGGAAAGTAATATAGCAAGTCATTGTACTTGTAGCACTTCAAAATTTTAACCCTGCCAAAATTTCCTTACAACAATCTGTTACTCTGCATGGTCCTTGCTTTCTCTGGTGTTACCCCTTTATCTAAATCTGCAGTCCCAGTATATTCATGAGATCTCATATGCTCCCAGTTTCAGATTAAATCTATAAATCTGTTCCTGGTGCCAAACTATATTCCAGCAGCCATAAGTGTTATGTCTGGAAACAACACAGAATAATTCACATTTCATATATTTTTTTAATTAGACAATTAATTCTTAAATAAACTTTAAAATTTAAATTTTAAGTTCCTAACTAATAATCTACTTTTTTTTTTTGTTCATTAGGCATTTGCATTGATTTTTAAAACAGAACCTGATGCTAGTGTTGTCTGAAGTAGAACTGAGCTATTTGAGTAAGAAACAGAGAGCACAGACACATATGCCTTACAAAAAATTGATAGGACAAGCAAAGAAACAGATCACATTTTACAGTCAAGTCAGTTTTGACACTCAGACAACTCCTCTGCCTTTTTTGACCACTAAGGTCCTCAGTAGAGACATGAGGGCTGTTGCTTCTTCTCTACAAACCTCAAAGTGAGAACTTTGGTTGGTTTAGAGCAGTATTTTTCAAAATACATACATGCACATTTCAAGACCAGAGAGCCTTGTAAATACATTTCACAAAACTCTGAAGACAAAGAATATTTCTTCCACCTGTGTCTTCACATTGTTTTTTGCTTTTTTTTCCCCCCTCCTCCGTTTTCCCATCTCCCTTTAATTTACAAAACTTGTAAAGCAGTATGAAAATGTCATTTCATGCTCATTTTCAACAACGTAGAAGCTGTGCATAAAAAGTGCTTCTATCAGTTAACAAAGGGAAAAACTTATCTTAGGGAACTGAAAATAGGTTCATGGTGCTGTTAAAACATGAACCACAATACAAGACAGTTATCTTCAGTCATAAAAGCAACCCTGAAAACTGAAGAGTGTGATATTTCATGAAGCGTCTCTGAATCCAGTTTCCATTCATCTCCAGGTGACAGAATGAAACATTCAGGTCACTTGACTACTAGTATTTACTCTTCTGAGTATTACCTAGACAGTAGACTTGGCAGAACATTCATATCGTCACACTTGAAAAAATGTATTTTTTTCCTTTACTGTCTTCAGAAACTTCTTGCTGAAGTAAGAATACAATTCAGGTGATGTACACTTGAAATGGAAGAAGCCCGCTCCTTTTTTGTGTGTTATATTTTGGGGAGAAAAATCTCATAGCAGCTTTACCTCATCTAGAAACCGTTTATGCAACTTTTCAAGGCCACTGTTAATTGCACAAATTTCTGTGTAAATACTGATCACACAAAGCTAAGCTACCCACAGCAGCACTAAAATGTTAATCGGATGCAATTCATAAAGCATTGGGTTTTGACCAATAACTGATCTAATAACCTGTTGTGCACTGCACTCCTTTTTCACTTATTTCTTACTTCTTTCCTTCACTCTAATCTGTCATACCACACATACTCACATAACCATTTTACAGTCAAAAATCAGAAACATGATATTCAAGTATTACGTGAAGACGTTTGTATTTAACAGCATCAGGACTATCATAATGCAAGTTTGGAAAGAACTGTTTTCAACTTCCCTGAAGAGAAAGGTCTCTTTTACAACATATCGATTTCAGCTCTATGAAGTAAATTAGTTGTTTAGAACGAACTTACCACGCAAAACAGTAAGTCTCGTGGACACACTTATTTCACCAACACTATTGGAAGCCACACATTCATAAATAGCTTCATCTCGTGGCGTGCGCAGTGGCTGTATTCTGAGAACGGATCCAGATCCATCGTCAAACTCTATAACCTATAGAAGGAAACAAAAGCTGTCACAGATGTTGTTACAAATGCCTATTCCTCAGTTGATCTGTTCAAGACCTGCTGGTATTTGTGTCATCAAAGCCAAGTTTGTTTTTCAAATACAAGTACCAGGACAAATGTGAAAATGTTTCAGTGGCAATACCTCGTAACATATATGGCTGTTCAGTGATCATTCGATGGCCACTCTAAGGTAGTTTCAAGAAAAGACAGGATGAAAAACAAATGACAAAAAACCCCACACCCCAGTTAACAAGGGCTGTAAGAAAGGATTCTGTAACTTAATGTTCTTTTATGCTGAAGTTCACCACCAATCTCCCTCCATTCTCTTAGTTTAAGCAGTCAACCCTCAAATGCCTATTACATTCATTTTAATTGCTATATTCCCACTCTATTCACAGGGTGCAGCTCACTCATTCATTTAGCTCCAAAGTGAAAAAGGGTCAGCAATTTCTGAACAAGATAGGACTACTCAGTTTAGCTGTGCATTTAACCCACAGAACGGAAGTAAATTTATCCAACAATGTATTGGAAAACATGTGACTCATTAAGAGACTAAATAATAAGCCTAAACTTTAAGGTTTACTTTTTAAATCACAACATTTGCACAAGAAATACTAGTTTTTATATGAGAAAATTAATGGCTTTTATTTCCTTCTTGTTCTGCCGTAGGAAGCATATCAGGTATTGGTGAGTATTGCACACTTCAAGCATTGGAAAAGCCTTTCTAATAACTTAATCTATTTAATATACTTTTTTAAAACCGTATTTATCAATAATATATGTTAGTATTTATATTAGTACTACCATCAGGTAAATGGTAGTCATGTCAAGAAAAGACAGTCACAATTATTATCTTTTCTTACAAAATAATTAATATTTGGCCATAATCTATATATACATGCACAGAACAATTTACATATATGCCTGTTTGCACATATACTTTTGTCTGTATGTCTCATTTACACACAGGTAATCTCCTAGATTTCTAACCTTGTTGAGAGTGAGAGAGAAATAAAGTACAGGGTTGGGAACTACAGATACATGTCCATTATCTTCCCATTTTCATTGTAGGAATTGCTCAGTTACTTCTTAGTAGTGGGAGAGGTTTAAGAGGAAGTAAGGTAAAAACCTGTTTGTTTCTGAGAATAAATTGTTTAATAGCCCTACAGGCTGTATTACTTTTCCTTGTTCATTAAGTAAAGCCATTATCCTAAACGAACCTAGACAACAAAAAAATCTATCTGGTCTTAGCACAAACGAAAGAATAACTAGAATTCTTGATAAAATTACATTTATGAGGGAAAGGAAAACTTCACAATCTTAAAGCAGACAGACTAATGATTTATAGCTAAACAATGAAAGAACAGGATCCAAATAATCACAATTGTTACACTTAAAAAGAACAATTGTTACTGTTTAAATCTGAACGCTTAATAATCCTAGCTGGATAGCCAATAAAAACAATTGCAGTAGACTGGATTGGGCAAATATTGCAGAGATTAAGTTTCAAGTCTGGTATCTCCAAAATATATATCATATTTTGATACAGCCCTGTGATGAGTTCTCCCCTTTCCATCACATCACAGACAGTTAATTCTTCCCATTCCTCCATCTACTGAGTAAGACTTTTTTTTTTTTTTTTTTAAAAAAAAAAAAAAGCACAGACTTTTTGAATAAAATCAGCCTTGTGTCACAGGGTACAATGGTGCAATTTTTTAAACACATTTTTCCCCCTTCTCTGTTTCAAGTTCCTCTGAGAAAGACTTCTTAGTAACTTAAAGTAGATTTTTCTAATGCATGTTATTTGAATTGATTTGAAGCAGGAGGAGAAGAAAGAATCATCCTGAATCATGTTCATTCATAGTATATACTTGAAATATAAATAAAAGATGAAAGATTAACAGTGAAGTCCCACAAGGTCTTATTGTAGCCTTTAGTTTCAGAAAGAATGTATAGCTCTCACACTACTCCCACTCAGTTGAGAGAATTAGCCTGTGAGCAAGAACATTCCACATTCAATGGTAATAATCTTCAAATATATAAACATGTCACTGTCAAGAGAGAGGGAATAAACTATTTGTGCCCTCATTGCTACGTAAGACAATTGTAATGTACATCAAGTTCCAACAAAAAAGTTCAGGCTCCGCATGAGAAAAAAAAATCATAGTGGGGCTCATGAAACACTGTAGGAGGCTGTGCAAGTTTATTGGAGCAGAAAAAAAAAAAAAGTAACCCCCAGCATCCCTGAGAAAGCACATGGATTAGATGGCCCACTGCAGTGCCTTCCAGCTGTATTTAGTAGGCTTCTATGAAGACAGCTGGCCAGGTGTAACATTTTCATGTCTTGAATTACTAAGTAATCAAACCCAGAGAAATACACAAAACTTTAATGTAAAAGAGAGGAAAAGAAGCCCAAGTAATTGTTCTCTTATTGGTGCTGCTGATATCTCAGATGTTCCTTGTTTCCCAAATGTTCCATGTGTCTTTTTTGGATCTCTTTCTGTTCTTATTTAGAGATTCTATGGCAAGAATTAATGCTCTTACTTTGGATAGGAGGAAAAGCTGCTTAAGATATAGATGTGCTCTGCACGCTTTATAACTACTCTGCTCAGTGGTTATAATAAAAATTATAAAATACTTGTTTTTTCTATTTCTTTGAATTACATTCCATCTTACTTGGCTATATAGCTTGTTCAAATGCCACTAAAGGCATTTTTAAAACATTTAAAATTATTTTTTATAGTTCTATTCAAACATTTTTTATGGAAATAAAACTGTCTTATTTTTGCTTTTTCTCCCTAAAAACAGGTACATAGGTACATAGAAAACAATATATGAAGCAAATAAACTATGACATATTGCAAAATAAAACTGAATCAACACGGTAAACACGTATATACCCAATCCTTCACTGTTTAGAACTCACCTCGAGTGAAAATTTTGTGACTAGAAGGGGATAAATTGTGTAGAGTTTATGATAAAATGTCTGTGTTAATCACTCTAGACAATTACAGCTCTGCACACTCTCTGCAAAGCACAAACAGTTCTTGGCACTAAGAGCTCACATTTAAATTCATGCTTTTATTTCCCACAATGTAGTAAATATACAAGCAAAGAATTACATTGGTTAATGAACAAATTTAATTGTCTTTAAATATTTTTAATCAAAAAATAATAAAAAAAAAGAGTTTGTATAAGAAATGCAATTTTTTTCTGCTGACATAAATCTAACCTGAAAGCTAGGGCAAGCAGTCTTTCCAAATACTACTAAAAACTAACACAGAAGACCTTAATTTTCAGTCTACTTATAATACATATATCTTAGATAATTTGCTCATAAAATGCATGTCACAACTGTTTTATACACAAATTAGTCACATTTCAAAAAGTTGTCTTAATTCAGAAGTCTCTTATTTAACATTGAAAATAGTGAAGAGAGACAGCAAAAATTATACACTCTTAGTGCCAGTTTTGGTGTCCATTCTACAAGCCTTCTCCCATTTCCTGAGTTTTTTCTTCATGTTAAATGTCATCCATATTTGATATTAATTGTTCCTGCCACTAAAAGAGGGAATAATATTTGTTGTCTTATATCCCTCAAATAACCAGCATCCTTTGAACAGATTATCTTCACAACAGCATTCTCTAAAACCTTTTGCTAGGTTATTGGTAAGAAAAGACTCAGAAGCAAACAAGTTTTAAGTTTCCTCTTCAGCAGCAGGAACTACAATGTCCCTTTCATCTCTCTCTGCAACAGTGGTAAGGAACTGTGGCAGCAGAAGCAATAGCAGCCTAGGTCTGTTTAATGCACACTGTCACAAAAAGAGGTGGCTTGCTCTCTGGAGACAGCAATCATTGCTCAAATAATTTTCCCCCATCTCCTTCACATGAAAGACAGCAGGTTGAATAGAAGCACATCAAAGCTCCCTGGTTAGATCATCCTTCCCTTTAATAGTGCTACACATAACCAGTTTGCCACATAAAAACTTCATGAGACTGCTCCCACTAAATTATCCCTGATAGTCATAGCTATGTTGCTTAATCACTGATAATAAAGTACACATATTGGGATTAGAAGTGAGGTTGGAATTATGTTTTTCAGAGGAACAGAACAATGGACCTAATACCTCAAATCTCTGATTGCTGACTTTCTTTCCCTTTTTGTTCCAGACAATTTTAGGTCTTGGATCTCCCGTGGCTTGACAGATGAATGAGGCAACTCCTCCAGAAACCCCGGTCTGGTCAACAGGAGTTCTTGTAAACTTTGGTGGTGCTGAAACAAACAAAGAAATAACAAAATTAATCTAAGTAGTAAAATAAAAAATAAACCATGTAAAGATTTCAAAAATAATAAAAAAAAAAAGACAGTATTCACCTGCAATAGAAGGCATTAAAAAAACAACTGAAAGGACAGAAAAGTCCTTACAGGTTTACTAGTGAAATTTATATTAAAATGGAAATCTGATTGCATCAGAATAGCAAGATCGCACACTATATTTTATCACCATTATAAATAAAAAATCCAATTCATGTTCCATTGCAAAATAAGCTCATCAATCAGCTGGAGTATGATCGTGATTCATGTCTTGATGTTATGATCACGGGACGTCAGGAAAACTGGATTCCCAACTTTGAGCCATTAAAATCAGTGACATTTAGAAGTACACATTTGTAAGTGTGCACTGGTGGAGGTAAATGACTGTGTATTAAGAGTCCATGCAGAAAGGACTGTTAGCAGAAGAGAGATTTATATTTGGGTAGAGTTGCACATATAGCTCCTATTCACTCCCAGTAGTGAAAAAAAGATCCCACTACTGCAACAACAGGAGAGCAGAGAGAAATAGAGAAATCATTTTAAAAGTAGGAAAAGGCATTTCAGTTAATTATTCTCTTTCCTTCCATTTCTGTTACAACATAATTTAATTTATCAGCCTTGTGGTGAAGCAAAACTTTCAAATCTAAACCAACACAAGACATGACTTCTAAAGATTTAATATAAAAATCTATGAGATTATGTCTAAACACAGTACAGAAAGGTTGAAGAATTCCTGTGAATACTTACATAATTCTTAGCTGCGAAACCTTTAAGAGATCAAATACACTTCAAAATGCTAATTTGAATGACATGAAGTGAATACTTAGGGCCAATAAACAATAAAAAAGCCAGGTCTTTGCTATATTGTCTTTCTCAGTTTTAAGTTGTTATACGTAGTTGCTCTATAGCAGCTGTTGCAATTAATTTTTGCTCTCATCTTCAACCGTCAGCAGTCAGTTCCTTTCTGACTCAATCACTTTGTTCTTCTTCAATTTCCTCACTTAATTCTGACATTTGTGTACCTGTACTGTATTAGTTTTGATTTCTAAGTTGCTGCTTTTCCCTTCTGATGTCTAACCCCTTATTCTGCTGAACTGGTCTTTCCACAGGTAACACTTCTTGACACTATGTTTATTTAAATGTCAGAAACCCAGAAGACTACAAGTATGCATGTATGTAACACCGAAAAAAAATCCTGAAATAATCAAAAATGCCCAGAAAACATGATGTGGCCATTACTACAAAACAAATTCAATATGTTGTTTTTATGTTGCTACATTAAATATTAGAGTATGAAAGTTGTCCTAAGTTTACGAAATGAAGTAAGTCCTTTTTACCTTACCCCTAATGTGCAATGTACCAGTAACAAAGATATTTTCAAAAAATGCAGTAAAAACATAATGCTCCTGCAAATCCTCATGTTTTTTTTCTTTACTAGAGATGTCAGGCAAAATTGTTATTGCTCAACTTTTCAGAATGCTCAAGGGTCCTTGAAGTATCTGCTGTGCTAATTTTGCCTGGTAAGCATGTACCTGAAATCAAATGCAACAGCAAATCTAAGCACAGCAAAATAAGCGTGCCAGTGCTACCACAGGGATCTCATGGAAGAACTTCTTTGATGTCAAAATATTGCCAAAACCACAGCAAATAAAACACACTTAGACCAAAGAAACTAAAAATCCTTTCCCAAGTCACAGGCTTTATGCCTGGACCACAGAAAAGACAGAAATGTATTCTGATGAAGAACATCTCAGTTCCATCAAAACTGCTAGCTTTGAATCCTTTTCTATGCATGTATTAACTCAGCACTCTGATATGTAAAGAGACATGACTGAATCTGATACACTGATATTCTGTGGCACAAGTTGTGACTGTGTGCCACTAATCGAAAAATGATGCTCTGCCATTCTGTTTTTATTCTTTCTGACATTTTGGAAATCCGGTGTTGAACCTCAAACCAACGAAAGAAAAACTGTGTGTGGACAAGTCCACCAGCACAGAGTAACTATGTACAGTAGCTCACAGCTCACTCATACAGTCGGTCACTGCCCAACCGATAATTTCAGCATCAATAAAGTAATTTACATCCTTAGAGACAAAGCCTGTTTTGGAAAATTTGCCAAATTTCCCATGCATTACAAGGGTCAAGGAGGAAAAGCAACTCAATTTAAGAGCCATGCTGTGCATTCATTCCTGCAGCACTTCCTTTAACTACCTTGAGACCAGGAGAACTGCAGACTTTTAAACAACAAACAATACAAAAGCAACAAAAAACGATAAGCAAAGACCATGTTGAACTACGTTAAATTAGCTCTGGAAAAAAACAAAACCAACTAACTAACCAACCAAAAACTCCCATCATATTCTACTATTAGGTTTTATGTCACATGCCAGTTGCCATGGTATCTATGGTTGGCATGCTTTTACTAATATGCAATATACTGTGTTAATGATAGCAATAATTAAAAAAAAAAAAGATAAACAAAGAGTAATTCCTTCCCTCCTCATCAGACACTCAGTCACAAATTCTTCATTAGCACAGTTCAGATAGACATAAGAGAGCTTGCACTAATTTACACCATATGACAATTTACCTTTCCATTGTTGCTGAACAAAAAAGAAACAAACAAAATCCCCTTAGATTTCCAACACTCTGCAAACTGGTAAGTTGTTTATCAAATAGTGTACATAGCAATATATATATA